GGGGGGCGATTGTGTGTGTGTGTGTGTGTGTGTGTGTGTGTGTGTGTGTGTGTGTGTGTGTGTGTGTGTGTGTGTGTGTGTGTGTGTTGAAGGTGGTTGTGAATGGGGGAGGGCAAAGCAGTGCGTGTGCGTGCGCATGAATGTGTGCGATCATACCATGTGTTTTTGCGTGGGCCGTGTACGACACACCCATGCACAGTGATGTCCCTTGCCGCGAGACGTTTCCTGCCGATCTTGCGCCCGTCCGTGCAACGCATGCTATGAGGGCCCGCGGATTCCCCGCGGGCGCCCACCTTCGTCGTCCTTTGCGGCCGCGATGAGAACTTGCATGTGCTCGAAGAACGGCCGCTACAGACAAGCACCACAGTTGGTTTGAGGGGGTGTGAAGAGGGGTTCAGGATGCGCGCAGTGTGAGAGGTGATGCGTATGGGGCAGGAGGGGGGGAGGGGAGGCGGAGGACTGCATGTAGAGTTGAAAGGCACCCTTGGGAGATATCATGTTCAAGCAGGCAGGGCCGCGCGGCTCGCAGCGCCTCACGACGGTACCACAACAGCGGTTGCCTGGAACGACCCCCGACCCAGCCCAGCGACGCGTCGCGGGGAGCGCGAGGTCAAGGCGCTGGTCGAGCTGGCCAGCCAGCCGCGCTGTCCGCGTGAAGTGGTCAACCCCCTGGTCAACCCCCTGGTCAACGCCCTGGTCCACCCCGCGGGCAACCCCCTGGTCAATCCTGTAGGCGGACATCCAGTCAGACCTCCGGTCAAGTCCCTAGTCAAAGCCCTGGTCAACCCCTGGTCAAACCTCGCCCCGAAACCGCCCCTCGAACCCACCTGCAGGTCGCCCCTGTATGTCGCCACCACCGCCTCCCACTCCGCCTCCTCCGCCGCCAGGAACCGGGCAAGCACCGAGTTGTACCGCGACACCTCGTCATCGACCTGTGCCGCCCGATTGTGCATGGTGAGCGGATGGCGCATGGTGAGCGGATGGGGCCTCAGGGGTTGGGGTCGGGCGGGGGCGCCGTGGTCACAGCGGCCTGCGGCGAAGGGGAGCTTTGGCTGCTGGCGCGCCGAAAACGTAGCACGCGCGCCGCTTCAGCATTGTTGCAACGAGCCCCTCCCCAGAACACACGACAGGAAACACAACAACAGGAAAAGCTGGGACAAAAGCACACTAAAAAGACACAGGAGGAAACACGACAACAGAACACGGTTATCGATCTGCGAGCGGCCCCCAGCGGCATCGCGCACCCCCTGCAGCGTCCTGAACAGCCGCCGCAGGATCATCTTCTTGTCCACGTCAGCCTCCTTGTCCGCTACCTCCCGCAGCCGGTTAAACACGCCGGCCTTGTGCTGCGGCCACTGGCGGCTCAGCACGATGAGCTTCTTCTGCGGGGGTGACGCGGGGGTGACGCAGGGGGGTGGGGGGGCTGGGCGTGCTCAGGGATCGAGGCCGGTCGAGCAGGCAGACGAGGGGTGCGGGGCGGGGGGCGCGCGGGGGCTTCACCGAGGGCATGCCTACGTGCGGGCACACAACCCGCGCGCTACCCGCGCCGGCTGCACGAGCGGGGGTCGGCTGCGAGCACGCGCTTGGCCCAATCTCTGCAATCAGGCAGTCCCGCCCCAGCCGCGCGCCCCGGCCCGCACGCGCGCGCCCCAGTGCACCCGCTGTCGTGCCGCCCGCAGGAGCCGCGACGTGACGGGGCCCGCCCTGCCCTCCCCAAAAACGTGAATGCCTTTCCTCCTTCCCTGCCTCGACCCCCGAGACATGCAAGGCAATTGCCAATTCACAAACACCCACCCAATCGTCCCGCGGCCGCTGCTGGAAGATCCCAATCAGGCGGTCGTATATCTCCCTGTACTGCTCCTGGCTCAGCTGGGCCTCCTTTTTGGGGGAGATCAATGGCTCCTGCACAACCCGCGACGCGCTGCTGCTGCTGCCAGCGCTGCTGCTGTCACTGCTGCTGCTGCTGCCGCCGGCGCTGCTGCTGCTCGGCTGCGGGGGGGCGTCGGGCGCCGCGGGCGCTGCGGCGGCCGCGGGGCCCTCGCCTTGGGGGGCGGGTGGAGGTGGTGGTTGGTGGGTGCCGGAGCGGCGGCGGCGTCAGGAGGGGCAGAGATGCGGCAGGCGCGGGAGCGGGTATGGCAGCACGGAGCGGAGGAACGGGTGGCAGCAAGCAGCGGAGGAGCAGGCAGGGCGGGTGCAAACGCGGCGACAGCTGACCACCAAATGGACGAGCGTGCGGTGAGAGGGGCCACACCAAAGCACTCACCGTTTGCTGCCGCACAGAGCACTTCCAGCGCGCGCTTGGCAGGCTCCCTAATAGGTTGCGTCGCCACGCGCGCAGCGCGCCGCCCGCATGCAATGGCCGCCGCCGCCCCGCCGCTTCGGGGGACGGCGGCCCGGTGGAGCTGCATGGAGCTTTGCATGTGCAGCAAGACAAATGAGAGAAAGATCGAGAGTCCTCGTCGGACGGACAAGCCGCAAAAGGAGTTATCTACAGGATTTCAGCGCGCGGTGTGCGGCTAGACGATGGATCGCACAGCTTTGATGAGCAGAGGACTCGAGGTTTGTCCTATGGGCTGTAGTATCTGTCTATACGACCTGCGTGCTGCTGCAAGCTGGGGTGATCTCGGGTGTCACTGCCAGACACTCGCACAAGCGGCACTTGAAGCTTGTGGGGGTCGCCGGGTGCATGCGCGCTGCCGCCAAATCGCGCGCCGCCACCCTTAAGTCTCGTTGTTGTCTTACTCGATGTCGAAGACGCTGATGCCACAGATGGATTCCTTACTTGGCAGCGGCAGGCAGTCAAGCAACTGCACGTACGCGTGCGCGGCTCGCTCGCTCAGTCACGACAACAGCGCAACCTGGTGTTTGCACAATACAGGTGGGCGCAGCAGGTCGTGATGTGAGCGCCGAACTCACAAAACATGGCACGCCACCTCTGCATCCTGAGGGGGAGCGCGCCGACAGGCGACACCACCCAATGGGCCCCAGGATTGGACGCGAACAGTCATCACAGCCACTTGACGTCAGCATACCGACAAATGCAGCGTGTGCACACGTGTGAGGAAGACGGGCGTGCTCCATGCCGTGTAGCAGGAGCGCGCCCCGGTGACATAAGATGTGGATTGTGTGAGTGCATGCCAGTGCGTGCAGATTGTGTGTACAGCACCCAGATTTTAGTGCAGGGATACAACCACATTGGAAAAATGCTAGACCCTTGCAGTCCGCCCAGTATGGCATTGTTTGAAGCATAGACAGGTGCGTATACGGTAGGCACTCAGTCAATGGTGAAAAAAACGCCAGGTCAAGTCGAGTGCATGTGCCAACTTCACAGGTGCACACCGGTGAGGCACCATGCACGGCAGCCCTGGCGGGCCAAGACGTGGCGCCTCCTTAAAACGCGTCAGCGTATGTATGAGATACAAGCTGCACGCTGCCCCATCACATGACGCTGCATCCTGCGTGGCAGCTGGCAGCACGGCGCTGGGCCGGATCACACCCCCGACCTGGACGCGCCCCCGCGCCCGCCGCCCTGCAGCAGCGGCTCCCTCGCCGCCGCCAGCCCCGCCCCCGCGCTCGCGCCCGCCCCGCCGCCGCCACCGCCGGCGTTCGTGGCAGCGGCCGCAGCAGGGGCCGCGGCGAGCGCCGCGACCGACAGCATGCAGAGCCAGCTGGCGCCCAGCACCATGAGCGTGCCGCCGGCGGCCGCGACCCACAGCTGCCCCACCGCCCGTTCGGCCTGCTCCGCCACCTTTTTCATTAGGAAGCCGGGCAGACACAAGCAGTGCCAGGGCAAACCCATCAGAGAGGCCCACGCTCCGAAATCGATGCAGCCGGGCGGACAGGGAATGCTGAAACCCATCGAAGCGGCGGCGTCGCTGCCGCCGCCACGCGCCGACGCGGCCGCGTTTGCTGTGACGGCGGCCGCGGGCGCCACGGGGTCTGCGGGTTCGAGGTACGGGCGCCCGCCGCCGCCCGCGGCCGCCTGGCTGAAGAGGCGCATATCCACCAGCCAGCCGGCCGCCGCGGCGAGCGCGAGGGCGCTGACGAGGATTGCCGCGTTGTTGGCGGCGGCGAGCCAGGGCAGCGCCGCGCGGCGCCGCTCAGCGGCGGGGCCTGCTGTGGGCGGCGGTGGTGGTGGCAGCGGCGTCTATCAACAGTGACAGGTGGACAGGTGGCATTAATTATTGCAAGATCAGCGGCGTCGCAAGCGACAGCAAGGACACTGCCGCAGCACGCCGGCCTGCAACCACCCATGCATGATGCGGGCAGCTGCCCACTGACCTGGCGCGCAGTCGACGAGGCTGTCCAGCCGGAGGTACGCGTTGAGGGCAATCAGGACTGCCAGCAGCGGTGTGATGATGCCGACGCCAACGCCCGCGGCTTGTTCCAGCTGTCATGGTTTTTTGCAACATGCGGGGACAACGGGGGGCGGCGGGTGCGCAAGCGGTTGCAGGGGTTGGCTGAGCAGTGTCCATCGAAGTCCTGTGGCCGCTATCGGCCGCAACTGCAGCAACAGCCGCTGCGGCTGCGGCTACTGCAGCCGCCGAGGGCTGAGCATGCGCGTTTCGCTGCACGAGGCAAGCAGCCACCACAGCCAAGCGCGCTGCTTGCCGATCGACCCCTTTTCACCTGGGTGATTGAGTCTATGCTGACCCCCATATCGTTGAAAATTTCAGTCGTGGAGGCGCGCGCCTGCAGGATGGTCACCGCCCTGGTGGGGGCGACGCAGGTGGGGGTTTGGGATGGCGGCGGCTGGTGCAGCAAGATGGGCGGGAGGGGGACTGGACGAAAAGCAGCGTCGCAATAGCGCATTCGGCTTTGGTGGCGTCGACGGCGCGTGCGAGCGAGGCCGCGGCTGCCGACGTCAGCCGTGCGCAAGGTCCTATCGTGCGACGAATGACCAATGGATGGCCGCTCACCACGCGACGAGGCCGGCAAGCAGCGTGGCGATGGACACGAGCAGCGGGATGGGGCCAGCGAACAGCGCCGCAGCGCCGCTGCGCGCGTTGGAGTTGCTGGGCCCCATAGCGACTGTATAATGCCTTGAATACAACGCCACACCGTCGCCGCTATCTTACAGGCGCAGACAACGGCGCAAGCATGTAACTTGGGGTTTGGCCCGATCTGGAGCTACCTGAACACTGCATACGAAGTGAGCAACTCTCCTCCTGAACCGAGCCAATGCGGGGGGTGAAAGCAGATCGACCCACGTGGCAGGGTGACATTAAACCCAGTACGGTAGCTCGTTACCAGCATTATACCGTGGCAGGCCAGACGCTCTGAACCCAAGGAATGTATACTACAATTACAACAGTGTTGGGCTGGAAGGTCGGTGATGCTGCCTCGTCTTGCCGACGTTTTCAAACCCCCACTGCGACGATCTAACGCCCTCGCAACCTATTCGCGTCCATCGCCGGCCCCCGTGCACCCCGCCGCCGGCGCTACCTCTCAGCCCCCTCATTGCTCCAAAGCACGACGCGCTATTCAGTTGTGGGTTGAATGTGCGTGGGTTGAATGTACGCGCAAGCATCCACCCCCAAACCCTTGAAGAATCACCCACAGATTGGCATGGGTTACGCCATGCTGCAAATGTCGTCGACTTGCTGCTGCTTGTGCAAGCACCGTCTAAAACGTTGTGACAAGCATGGGCAAGGCAGGACTGGAGCCCGAATGCCATCAATTGATGCACTCGTCCTCCTATACTCTGAGGTCTGTCTGCGAGGCCCTCAGCTGCTCCTCCGGCCCGGCCGCCCTACCCTGCGGCTGCCGCGCCAGGCCAGCGCCCCGAGGCAGCGGGCGCCCGGCTTGACCTGCACAGCGTGCGCATGCGCCGCAGACCTGCTGGGATGGCGGGTGCAGGTGGCAAGCAAGTCACTAGCGGGGTGAAGCACACTGGGTTCAGCCCCTGACGTGTATGTGTGCACTTGGATCGGTGCTGACGTGCACTCCGAACTACCGTTTCTCACCTTGTCCATTGCAGCTGCACCCATGCACACTTCTCTCATGGCACTGCCCAAGTGGCGCGCTGCTTGGGCTTCCAACTCTGCGGTGCAGTGCTAGAAATCTTGATTCGCCCCACTAGGCCTCATTGCCAATGCACTACGCATCGTCGACAAATCAATCCCATCCGATGCACTCTGTGCGGCAACGAGGTGTGGGGCTGAATTACGAATGCGTGCTGCATGCATGCGATGCATTGCGCATGCGCAGAGCTTGCACTCTTGCAGATAACTTTAAACGCGAAAACCCCCTAGCCAGCCACCCTCACACTCCCCGTGGGCAGGAAAAACCTCTTGCTGGTGCCAATAGGCTAGTTGCGGCAATCCACTTCTGGGTTGGGCCCGGCGCGGCAGCAGCGCCGCCCTCGCTGGAATGCAATCAGCGCCCTGAAAGCACATTTGTAAACAGATAAGCACGTCAACACCGCTGCACCGCGTCAATCAAAAACAAGTGACGCTCACCGCAACGCACCCCCGTGGGGCAACGTCACCACCTGGGTAGCGACACCCTGCAGGCAGCAACATGCGAGCACAGATGACACACCAACCGCTGTTGACTCAGGTCAACTGCAACAAGTCTCGTTGGGAGGTGCCCTTTGGGTAGAGTTCATAAATTGCATCATGCGACAGAACAGCGTCGCATCACAAAACGCCTTAGGCAAGGGCAATTGCAGGGCGCAGCACGACAGGGAAGCGTAAGGTCAGGGACTAGGGTTTCAGGTTTCTTTGACGGCCATCTAACAGGGCAAGTGGAGAACCATAGGACCCAGACGAACGCGAAAGCTGTAGCTGGTCGGTGGTCGCCACACGGCGCACTGCTGCGGCCGCAATACAGTACAAGGAGGCGTGAGCTCACAGACACGCGCCCTCCGTGAGCAAGCAAAGCGTTGCTGGCGCACCAGCAAGCGCGCCAGGCCCCCACAGGGACATCAGGCAGTGGTCTTCAAACCTACCAGGGGCCAACAGCACCCCAACAGTATGGTACTGACGTGCCCAGTGACGGGCGCCAGGGACAACCGCGCCCCGCTACAGATCCCTCAGAAACACACGGTTACACAACTTTGAGAGAAAGCACGCCCCGCGGCTCTGTACTCATGTGCACTCTGTGCTGACAAGTGACAAAACGTCACTTGCAGGTGCAGGGCATGCACAGCATGCGGCATCGCGGGACACGCTGTGTGTTGTGAGTCCCCACGGGCCGACGTGGGTGCCATATGATTGATTTTAGGGGCTCCAGCAGGGGCCTGGCAGCGTGAGTGAGCTCGCACGTCCGCCGTGAGCTTCTGCAATTACGAATCTGTACACTCTCATTTGAAGTAGCGCACGCGTATCACAAGTCTCAAGATGTCCTGCGCGTAAGGCTCGCGCTCAGCCAAGTTGTAGATCGATAGGGAGGAGCCTGGGGGACGAGCAATCGGTGTCATGGTGCAAATGTGAGCACAGCAATTGCGCTGTGGGTGGTGGCTTGATGTCGGTGGATTCGGTTGCACCAGATCTGCCCACCTCGGTCTTGGATAGACCTCGTACGGCCTGCTAACAATCTTTGAAGGCTCACGGTACGCCAGCCGAAGCCGACAATGCCGGCCTGCGGGCTAAATGAGCAGTGATAGCGAGCTACTTCCAGCGCTGCGTCTGGCTCGCTGCACTGATGCACCCAGCACTGTGTGCGGTGAGTCAGCCCCCCTCCGCCAACCTACCGCCTGCGTCCCCCCTGCCCCCGCCACGCCGCGCCTCGGACCTCTGCTTGCCGCGCAGACTGCGGCCGAGGGCGGTGGCCGACGAGCCGTCGTCATCGGACGGCGACGACGACATGCCGCCCCTCGCCGGCAGCAGCAGCGGCGACGACATGCCGGCCCTAGTCAGCGAACCGGACGATGACGACGACGATGATGGGCCGCCGGCGCTGCTCCCAGAATCCGACTCCGAGAACGGCGGCGTCCCGATACATCCCCGCGGCAACGGCGTCGGCGGCCGCGCGGCGGGCACGGCCCGCGGGGCGCCGTCTGATGGCTTGTCAGACTCGCCGCCGCCGCTCGCGGACGCCTCATCTGATGATGACATGCCTGCGTTGGCGAGGTGGGGGGCCGCGGGCCCGCCACGCTCCGCGGCGGCGGCGCCCGCCGGGGAGGGGTCCCGAGGCGTGTGCGGCAGCCGCGCGCCGCGGGCGGTCGGCGGCCTGCGCACGCGAGCGCCTTGCGTGCTCCACGTTGGACTCGTTTTGCACACCATCTCACAATCCTCCCCACCATGATTCCCGCCTCGCGCGTCACCGGTGACGCTGGTGACGCCAGTGACGACGACGACGAGGACTTGCCGTCGCTGGGGGACGCGTCCGAGGATGAGGACGGCAGCGCCCGCGGCAGCGACAGCGACGCCATGCCCGACCTCAAGGTGGGCCGCCGCTCCGGCGGCGCCCGCGCGCGGCGGCGGGCACCCCCTCACAGGGCGGCCCGCGTTTGGAGTGCGCCGGCGGGGCGGGCCGCCTCCCCCCTGCGCGTGCGCTGCCTGGCCGGCTGGGCGCGGGCCCGCGTTCTCAGCATGCGCCGAACGCCGCCTGGGCGGCGTTCGGGCCGCCGCACATTCAGGGAAACAGCTTGTCGGGACCAACTCAAGTTAGATACCTCGTGTCTGAATTTCGATACCTCAAGGTATGATGTTACAAGTCATTCAAGGAGATGGGTGTACCGCTCCCGACCGCCCACCGGAGCCGCAGGACACAGAAGGGGACGTCACGGACGATTACTACGAGGAGGGCGATGACAGCATATACACGTCAGACGACTCGGACCATGACGACGCTGACGGGGGCAGCAAGTGGGGCGAGGGCCTGCACGGCATCTTCTCGGGTGCGGCACGGCGGGCGGGGGGTCCGCCGGCAGGGGCGGTTGGGGTGCGTGTGTGTGTGTG